TTTTTTGTGGGCCGAGTGCCCAAGGCTCAAATTACAAATTGAAATACAACGCAAACACACGCCTCTTCCCATTAGGGCTGGAAGAGCCTCGGCCACTGCTCCCACAGAGACAACTTCCCTAATCAACGAGAATAGAGCATGGGCACTGAGCATTGATTGCTTCCCCTGTCCCATAGATGATCAAATTCTGCCCTACTATAGCAAACCGCCAACGATCAAACCCTACAAATCAAAAATACGGGGGGAGGGGGGATTATAGCAGGGCAAAGTAAGTCGAGCACATCCTGGGTCTCAGTCAAAACCCTAAGTGGATATGCCCAACAGTTAACACGATCCTTGAGATGAAATGAACTTAAAGCAAATCAAGAAAGGAAGAATTCAGCATACAAGTTGTGCAAAAGTCACAGTTCCCGCACGGGGTAGGTTCCCCGGTCCACAGTGACACGGGGAAATCACTCATTCAAAACACCACCCAGACTCGATGAATGAAGAGACAAAATGCCACCCACGGGATCCACGATTCCGTCTCCTGACCTAACCCCATCAGTACTCACACAGGGGACCACGTGACCCGCTCATTTCCAACCGATGACACAACCGCAGTGGAGAATATCATCATTACTGTTGTCGATGAAGTCGATAATAGATCAGTTTCGTGAGATGTCATCGTGATACCCACTGGATCGTCCGACGGAGCAGCAAACACTCCCGGTGTTATTGTGAACGAACTTGATACTAGATGGATTTCAAGAGATGTCTTCGTAATGCCCAGCAGATCCATCGTTTGGGTAGGTAGCACTCCTGGTGTGTTTGATATCCTCATTACTGTGGACACCGGCGCATCCATCCCAATTAAGGATGTTGAAACTTGAGCGGTAGTTGAAAGATATGATGCTGACCCCGTTTCGGAAGAAGTCACCATGATGCCCACCGGGTCCGGTGTTAGAGTAGAAACGCTCCCCGTGCGTTCGAGATCTCCGTGATGCACACAGGGGCACCTGTTGCAGTCTTTGATATTGGCAACTCTGCAGATGTCGTCGTCACGAGCACTGTTGTCAAACTTGTTGTTGATGCTACCACTGTTGATGCTGTTATTGATGTTGTTGTTAATGTTGTTGATGATGCTGTCGTTGATTCTGTTGTTGATATCGTCGACGATACTGCTGGTGATAGTGGCGAAGTTGTGAATCCGGCTGCCTGGGAGCGCCTAATTACCTCCACACCCCATGCACGTGCTTCGGCCTGAAGCTGAAGACAATCGCTCCATAAATCGTTTGCTCGGTGCCAGTCAATATAGGCATCTATCTCCATGGCATGCCCCTCTTCGAAAGGCTCGCTGATTTCCAACATGCGCTGCACTACGGCCTCCACCCATCCGGTTACAGAGGTTGCTCCCCCTTCAACCTCAAGACCAGACAGGGGGTGGGATGAGAGCTGGACCACCATACCCCGAAGTTTCTCCCGACATTCGTTCAACCTCGAGAGCCAGCAGCCCGCCTCAAGTCGCCGCCCCTCCGCAGAAGCCATTGTGTGTTGAAAATCTTATCTCCTATCTCCTTGGTATCGTCCTCAGGATCACCTTGTGTTATTCGCAGCGCTCCACTCGCAAGGACACCGTTCGCTCGTTGACTACAGGGTATTCCTACCCTGCCTGCGTCGCTGCGCCTCCAACCTTCCACGCTGCGATGGCATCAACGTCTCATGTCGTCCTCCTCAACTTCGAGGTCTTGGGTAGCAAGACCGCCAGGCCCGCAGGCCGGTTCGTTCCCCATGCGCTCGCGACCGTAGCGATGCTGGATTACTAGTCTTTGTGACCCTAGTTTAGCGCACCCCTTATCCCACTATCCTACCTCAGTGTGACCAGCACTCAGGACCATTACCCTACCGATGGGCAGGTAACTTGGACCGAACAGCAGTGATAGGCACCAGGGCTGATAGGTTGCCCAGCCCTGGTGGAAGCGGAATCGGACGAGCCTTGTCGAACAGGGACTTCGGACGCCAGGCCCAGACAATCTACTACAGGCCCCAAGAGCAACTTATACCCCTACCCTTACCCCAGGGTCTAAGCCTTATATATAGCCACTGGACAGTTCTCCAAATATCAGTAGGAACTTCGGTGGCCCATACCTGTCCCTACTGCAGATACTAGACCCCACCCAGTGACTAGGCCCCCCCAGTCTGATAGTTGTGTAGTTTGCAATGTATGTGGATACCCGAAGGCTCTGTATGCTCCATGTATCTATGTATGAAGATGTACAGACAGCACTGTGTGTGGAAACTTGTGTATGTAGCCAGTAGGCCATGTATAATTCGCAAGCTACGTATATGCCCGACGGCTGTGTGTGCTCTGTGAATCAATGTATCGAGATGTATAGGCAGCATCATGTGTGTATATCGAAGAGAGAACGGGGTAAGCTGGACAAGGACCCCCCCCCAAGGTCCGAACCAAGCTCGAACCCATGACCCTGTAACGTGTAATCGAATGACTCTACCATGTGAACGACTAGTGGAAATGGCACGAACGTGTGATATGCCAGACTGGGGAGATGAACAGAACACCCAAG